TTTTATTTTAATTAAAAAAAATTTTTTGTTGTATTTTCAAATGTTTTCCCGTTGTTGGCATTGTTGAAAAACACTATAAAAAATTCTCCAAATGCAATTGTGGTGATAGTTATTCGCCATTGTTGTTTCTGTTATGAAGATTCAATAGTCTGAGAAACGATTTTGACCCTGTTTTATTCGACATTGTAGTGTTTTCGTGCGATACGACATGAATTTGGTATTGCTTTCTGGATATGCAGATAGGCAGTCAATATGTTAAAGTAATAAATACGAAGTGCTCTTTATTAATAAAAATATTTCTATTTGAAATGGACTAATGGGCAGAGATAGTCTGAACGATTTTTGCATATATCATAGTTTTTGTATTTGTAACATCATAAAATATCCCCCTAGGTTTGGCAATCTCAACATTGAACGATTATCATTGCCCGATATAACGCGAACACAACGCAACTCACACTTTTAACCAATAATATTGAGGCATGTCGAGTGAACCACTTTTTAATATTGCCTACAACTAAAAAACTACAAACACAGTTATCCATAGTTTTTTATTCATAGCAAGCTTTTTTTTATTTATTTATATTTGTATATTTTTTCAACTTTCTTTTTTCGATAAATAATATCACTTCAGCTTTAACAAAACCACTTTGTATATTTCTTGCATATTGCCTATAAAGCGTTTAAAGCACCTAACGCAATGTAATATATATGTAGACTATATGTAAATAAGTATGTTTTTTAGTAATACTACGACGAAAGGAAAAACTCTTTGCACCTTCATAAACTTCAAACTACTCCCCAGTTGCAATCTCCACAGGATTACCCTCTTCATCCAATTCACCTACTTCACCATCGACGCCTTGAGCATTTTTATTGCTTTTATCGAAACGCGATGAGATCGTTGCCACACGTATGGCTGCCTTGAAGCCGACACGCGCCTTTTGCTTAGCTAATTTGGTCTTCCAGTTTTCATCGCGCGACGGCAATTGGTTCAAATACTCGAACATTTCCTCCTTTTGTGGATCGACAATGGCCAGCACGGACATACAGCCATCCACAGTGCCCAACACAATGCAGCGACCATCCTTGCTGCTTTTAATCGCTGTCAACTCGGCCTGTAAGCGATAGTTGGCGATCATTTCGGTATCTGACGAACGGAAAACGCGTATAGTTTTGCGACCACTGTGGTAATAGCATACATATTCATCATTCTCGGTGAATAGACAAATGACGGAGAACACACCCTCGGCCACTTTAGGAATGAATGTTTTGACTGTGGTGCCCTTACGTAGTTCGAGCATTTCAAGGCCACCTCTAATATGACGAAATGTTAAAACTATTGTTTATTTTTATTTTTTTTTTTAGAAGTATTAATGCTTACCTAGTAGGCGCATAGAGTCCACTCTTGCCATCTTTTGTTATGGAACCACCCCATTTGGGTATGGAACGCACATGCTTCTTACTTTTAATATCCATTATGCTACCCTTTTCGCTGCTGATAACAGCCACTTGATTTGCCTTGTGTGGCATTGGCACCAATGAAATTACCTCCTGGAAAGAGAGACGTAAATGGTTCAAGGTAATATGTTTATACACATGCATAGAGCAATCGACGTAGCAGAGGATGTCGCCACAATTTCAAGAGTCATATGTCCAAATCACGTCAGAGGAAAATGTTGAATTATGGACTTTTTACAGAGATCACCCAAAATAGGTAAACCTTCAAGTATATTTTATCATAAAAGTTGTTGAGACATTTGGAGACGGATTGACACCAAAATTTTATGTTTTCGATGTTTGAAGTCAAGTGCTTCAAGGTTAGAGTATTAAAATATGTATATCTTCTCGCATGTCTTCTTACGAACGTCGGTTGCTTACTTCACTCATCCAATTGGTGTCGGAAAAATCTTTCATAGTTATACTCACCTTAATTGCACAGCCCTTTAGTAGAATTTTCGAAACAAATGCCCCGTTAGTAGCGCTATAGACCGCCAAACAATCCTTGTTCGCCTTATCCACAGTACAAACGATTACATAAGCCGAATCAGCCGAGATGACCGATTGCCTAAATGGCAAGCCAGGCACCATGCGTATGATATACTCAAAGCGGAACAGTATATTGCCCTCTGTATAATAAAACAGAGTAAAGTTTTAAATAATAGTATTCAACACATTGCGGTACAAGGCTTACCTGGCACCGAACGCACAGTAGTTATTGCTGTTAGACGATTAGTTTCCTCACCGGCTGCAGCAGCCGCCTCAGCTGCCGCCGCTGCTGCTTTGTTATTGATATTCGGACATGATACCGTTAATACTTTATAACCGTAATCCATAAGCGTTATCTGCTGAATACCCGGTTGATCGTCACGATAGATCACCTGTTCAGAGATGCGATTCCATATTAGAAACTTGCCAGTCTCCGAAGATATAATATAACGACCGTCGGGTGTAATTTCGGCGTGAGTGACAATGGCACCCAAAGGACTATCGGCCAGTTTGGCTAGCAGACGCCCCGAACGTGTATCCCAAACCCCAACGCAGCTGCGTGTAACCGTTACGCCCAAATCGACTTCGGATAAACTGTGCAAACAAACATACATATGAGACGTAGATGGGCGATTACTATTTTCCAACTCACCTGATATTATCGATCTGTAGTTCATGTCGATCAATTACATGCACCTTCTCGAAAATGTTATTTATATTCCAAACTTTGACCGATCGATCTATGGACGACGTGACTAGGTTATTCCAATTGCCAATAGTGAGCGCTTCCAGCTGAATAATGCGTCCAAAATGTGCGTCTAGCACCTTTGCCAGTTGGCGTGTGTGTAAACACCAAACATAGAGGTTTTTACGCACGCCCGCCACAGCATAATCCATTTTCGAGCTCACCATAATCGAATTGGATTGCATAATACGTGTTGTGATGTTGCGCACCCCATGAGGTAGCGCAAAGTACATAGCGTCCTCGCTGAGACGTTCGCCATCTTTGCCAAAGTCCCATATAACGAATCCTTTGCCAGCTGTGCCGAGTAACATGCGATCATCTTGATCCAAACGCAACTGCAACAACATTTCCTTTTCATCATTCTGAAAGCGTGGCAACTGCTCCTCGAGTATCCAGCCGATGTACTTTGCGGAGTCACTTTCTTCGTAACGAAAGACACTAACCTATAGGGAGGGGCATAAACTGACATATTATTGATTTTTACATCAACTTGATTAAACAGCTCTGCTTAGTGCAATTTTTATGTACAATTTTTTACGCACCTGATAATTCTCTTCGTTCGCGCATGCGTAAATCTTAGTACCAGATTTATTCATCACCAGTGCGCTGTAAAGCAACAGCTGTTCAGAGAAGACTTCATTGCGACATGAATCCAAGCGAAGGCGTGTCTCATTAATGGAACCGGACCAGAAAATTACATTGTAGTCAGTAGGACGTAGAAACTCTATGCCTATAAAGAAGATACAAAATACGGACAAAAATGCCAATAAATTTCAAAGACAACACTTACTCAAAATTTCCCAATCAGCAACGTCACCTTGCATATCATATACACCAACCAAATTTCCACGCATGTCAAACTGAGCCCAACGCAGCTTGCAAGTTAAGAAGAGGCTGCAATAGGTAGTAAGTGGAATATCTTTATTGCCACTAAAATGCAAGAATCAGTACCTCTGATTTAATAAATATAGACCACTGACTGGTCCGTCATCTACCTCAAACGGACTATCGATCACAACAAATTCGCTCGAGAGCATATTCAGCAAGACGGTCTGATTGTTATTCGAGTACGCTGCAGCCCATTTATTATCTGGGCTCAATACTAGTTGTTGCATGATGCCTTCAATACCGGGATTCACATCACGTGTAAGATCCGATGTTGAGAGATCGAACGTTATGAAATGTGTGGAAATGGAAACCATATAACGAAGATCGCTGGTAAGACAAAAAGCGAAAACGGCAAACTGATGGCCCTCCAGTGAGTACTGTATATAAATAAAGGCTAAGTCAGAAGAAAAAATGCAAAGCAATAGCTACTAACTAACTTTCAGTGGACCACCTGGCGTGTGTAGACAATGATTTACCGGTATGAGAGAGCAGTCTTTCGGTCCCGAGCGATCGCAGGCACGCAACAGCATTTTTATATTATTGTTGCCACCGATTTCGGGCAACAAACGCCCTATCAACTGTGGAGCCAACATATTCGGATAGACTGCGAGAATAGCGCCACCAAGACGCAGAGCATCGGCCACCAGCATGAGCTCACGTTTTGCTTCTTTGTTATCGGTATTCGCGGAGGCGTCTTCGAAATCAGCCAGTACGGCTTGTAGTGGGCAACTTGAAAGTTTAGCATGTAGCCAGTCATAATTGAAAAGCACGTGTTCGAAAAGATCCTTGAAGCGACGTGAGCGTACGAAATGGAAAGGTAGCTCACCGAACTAGAAAGGAGAATGTGTTTAGATAGAGTATGACTTTATAAGTAACAATTTTTTTTTTATTAATATTTTGGAGTTCAAGTGTCTTAAAGACGG